TATACCTAAAGCACCTTTAGACTCTTAGAAAAAACCTTTACGTTAAGCTAGCGCGTATAGAACCTATCCCTCTTACTAGATATAATAGATAACCTAATAGCTAGGTAGATAAATACTTTAAAGCTAATTTAGTACTAGAAAGCTACTAAATACGTACCTACTTTATATATTATAATACTAGCCGCTATAATATAATAATTAGTTATAAGCTACTTAAAGAAGTTAATATTTAGGTTAACTATAAGTAGCGCGCACTAATATAGCTAGATACTAATTAATTAATTAATTATAAACGTAACGTGTTTATTCTTATATAATTCTCTTAATCTACTACTAAAGCTTAAGTAGCTTACTAAGCTAATACTAATTACTATAACGCTCTAATATTAGTAGTAGAAAAGCTAAGAGTAATATAATAAGAGAAGAGAGAATTATAATACTAGAAGCTTTAAGAAAACCTACGCAAGATAGACAGGTAGCTTAAGAATCTTAACTCGCCTGCTAGGTTGCCTTGTAAGCTAAAAAAGCTACCTATTTTACGGGAAATATGCTTAAAGGCTAGACTTAACGTTAATATAATTAGCGCAGCTACCTTTATAATTAACACGCGTTAAAAAGACACTATAATTAGGCACCTTAGTATCTATAAGGTTAATTAGCTTATTACTAATAGAAAGAAAACTCTAGTTACTAATCTAGAGAAGAAACTCTACTAACTAGTTACTAAAAAGCTTCTATCTCTAGAATATACTAGCGTAACTATAGCTTATTTCTTAAAAAAAAATTCTAATACTCTACTACTATATAGAGAGAGAGTAGATTATAATATTAAGCTTATAGTAAAAAATATCTTAATAAATAGTCTTCTTTATAGCATGTTACTAGAGTATCTATAGTTAGTATAGAATTACCTAGAGAACTACCTTTATCGCGGCTTTATTATCTATAGTAATACGTTATACGCGTTACTAGTTCTATTTACTAAAAAGCTAGATAGAGAATAGAGATTCTATATTAACTATTAAAAGCTTAACGCTATTACAAAAAAAGACGCCTATTCTATCTCTCTTATTTAGAAAACGCTTATACGTCTATCGCGTACTAAGATCTTTACTAAGTTAGATATAAGGTAAGCTTTCTACTAGATCTAGCTTAATAAATTAGTAGAGAACCTAACGTCTTTTTGTACGTAGTATAGTAACTATAAGTATTAAGTTCTACTCTTTAGCCTCTATAATAGCTCTACTATCTTTTAGTAATATATTAATAAGGTGTTATATAGCTTGCTAGATGATTTCTATATAGTATATATTAATAATATTCTTATTTATTTAGAGAATTCGCTTAAGTATAAAGCCTATATTACCTAGATACTTAATTAATTATATAAAGCTAGGTTATAAGTAGATATTAAGAAA